AAAAAAAAAAAGAGTATTGGGGTGCTTTTTGGCTTCCCATAGCACCGTACCTTGAGTTCTATTTGTAGCTGGGTTATTTGAAGTAATCAGGCAGCTTTAACTCCTTGGCTCTTCCTTTCTTCCCTAGCTAGTTAGTTATTTTGAACCCCCCTTAAACATAGCATGTTACATCTTACTTTGGGCTGAGGTAGGTACCGTGCTCAACTCTGTGTGAGCAATGATCTCCCCAAGAGGCAGGTCATACTGGACCCATGTTGGAGAGGATGTAGAGCAGTTAATCAATTTAATAACAGCCACCAAGATGTGGGGGTGGGATTGGAATGCAGTTGTCTGACTCCAAAGCCTTGCTATGCTTTTATTTAGTTACTCAGACACTGACTACTTTCTGCTGGGCTTATAGAGGTGTACAAGACTCAATTTTCATTTATTTATTTTATTGAGCCACTATCAGTAGAGTACTGTTACGTCATAGCTCACAGCAACCTCAAACTCTTGGGCTCAAACACCTCTTGCCTCAGCCTCCATAGTAGCTGGGACTACAGGCACTTGTCACAATGCTGAGCTATTTTGTTTTTGTTTTTGTTTGTTTAGCAGGCCTGGGCTGGGTTCAAACCCACCAGCTTAGGAGCGTGTAGCTGGGACCCTAACCATTGAGCACGGGCACCCGGCCAAGACTCAAGATTTTTATATTGTATGTATTGTGTGTTCAGCAGGGTGCCAGTTGCCATGGGTTTATTGAACAAGTGCTGGATGGCCAACTAAATTCCCTGTTTACTGACCTATTACCATGCCCCTATTCTAGGAGCTGGAGAGAGAAGATAAAGAAGCTGTTTCTGTTCTCAAAACTCTGAGAAAGTTAGAACAGCTTAACTCATGATCTCACGGTCTGGCTCCTGTTCCTTACTATGAGGTAGCAGACAGTGCATGATAGTGATAGAATGGAGGTACAGAGCCAAGATGAGTGTACAGAGGTTGGGCACTGGGAGGCTTCTGGGAGACGTATGTTAGTCCCCCATTTCCCCCATCCACAGTTTTCACTGCCTGAGGGTTCAGTTACCTGTGGTCAGCTACAGTCCCAGAAAACCATGGTCCCGGATAACCTGAAAGCAATGGCCCTCACAAGGTAATACAGAAGGTCAGTAGCCTGATGCTGTGTCACAGTGCCTCTGTCATTCCCTTCACCTCGGCATACGCGGAGGCATTATTTCTCACGCCACAACAAGGGAAATATGGTATAATAAGATTTTGAGAGGAACCACACATGTAGCTTTTATTGCAGTGTATTCTAATCGTTTTACTGTTCATCTCTTACTATGCCTAATTCATAAATTAAGATTTATCATAAGTATGTATAGGATAGAACATGGTGTAGATGGAGTTTGGTACTCTCTGTGGTTTCAAGCGTCCACTGAGAGTCTTGGAACATGCTTCCCTTTCATAAGGGGGGACTCCTGTAAGACCAGCTGGGGTGAGACATGA